GTTCCGCTGCCTGTTGTAAATTCGGTGCGGATTCAACGGTCGCTGGGGCCATCACCAAATGCACATCTGGTGGGGGGAGTGGAAGCAAAATCATACGTTCAATAAAACAATTCCAGAAACAGAGACCGTATTGTATAGCTGCCTTTTACACTAATGAGCTGTAGAATTTACTGAAAAAATAGATACGCTATTCAGCCTCCTACTCTGGCGGAAGTGAGATGTAAAACTTGTGACAATCGGGTCTGACGTAGCCAACAGAAACGGTTTGCCAAAAAGCGACGAGTTGCTACAGAAGTAGAGCGCTTACATTTACCAAACGCAACACTGGACCGACTGTGTAGTGCGTGAACACATGCTGGTATTTGCTGTTGTAGTTTTGGTTCTACAGTACGGTTGGTATTTCATGCACAATGCTGAAATCTGCGAAACACTGATTACTACTCGCAAAACGGCATTAAGTAGGGTTGTAATAGTGATCATCGGGCGGCCTAATCTCAAGCCAGTTCAGTCATGGCAGGATACCGGCATTTTAACGACGGCTTAAAACAATTGCATTCTTTTAAAAAGGGCTGCTTGAGTAGTATGCAGTTAACTCATCGGTTTTAATTGTCCTTATAAATTCAAGCACATTTTATAGAAAACACGCACGATAATATTCGTTTTGTATTCGTTTCATAGCAAATTGCGCCTTTAATTTTTTTTTGCTAAATAACGGTCGTCTTTCCATTGTAAGAACTTTTCTAAATTGCCGAACAATTTTGAAACCTACCGACTTGAATTTAGGATTTCCAACCTGCATGCTCTGTATATCCTCTCCAAGGAAAACCACGCATTTCGCTAAGTTATTAGGAAAAGGTCGCACCGTTCGCATACAACTTTGCAATAAATGTAGATCATGCTGGATACATTATAGGCAACATTAATAAAGTGAAGGATACTTTGTATTATGAATGAACGTTTTACAGTCGCAAAAAATCGCATAGTTATAAATTTTTGTAAAACTGGAATAAACTATTCCCTTATGTATAAAATTTAAAGAAGACGCAATTTGCTATCAAACGAGTACGAGAAATATTTTTTTCGTTTATGTTTTCCATAAAATCTATCTCAATTTATAAAGGCAGTCAAAATCAACGATGAAAATGTATATTACTTAAGTAGCCACTTTTTACAGTACATACTTTTTATTAGCGATCAGAAAGAAGCTCTTTAAAAGCCAGCATCCTGTCGTGATTGAAATGACTTGAGATTAGGCTGCAAGGTTATCAGTTTTACAACCCTACTTAACACCGTTTTGTGAGTGAGTATCAATCCTTCGCAAATGCTGGCATGGT